TCCAGCAGCTTCTCTGATGATAAATCATTCATAGGCTGGCAGCAAGTGAGAAGTCATTCTGGTGTTTTGAGGAATTTTAATATGCTTTTTACCTCCGCCAAGGGCGGGGTAATGTTTTTGGTCGCTAAAATCTGTCTGTCTTTTTGTCGTTCTGTCTGTGGACAACATTACTCAAAAACTTGTGGACGGAAGTCCCAGGACACGCTGGAGGGACTATGTCTCTCGGCTGGCCTGGGAACACCTTGGAGTTCCCCCGGAGGAGCTGGAAGAAGTGGCTGGGGAGAGGGAGGTCTGGGCCTCCCTTCTGAAGCTGCTGCCCCCGTGACCCGACCCCGGATAGGCGGAAGAAAATGGATGGATGGATGGATGGATGGATGGATGGATGGATTGTGGACGGATTGTCATGGCATTTTTACCACATGTGGCCAAGGAACACATCATTAAACTTTGGTGATGTTCCAGATCACGATGCGGATACAGGATTTTTTTTCTTTTAACACCRTGAGATGGGCAAAGCTGTGATGCTTTCACAGGGCTTCTGTAAAAAACAGTGAGCTGTATTGGACAACACGGACTTCAAACTTTATAAAAGTAATGTTAAAACCACATTTAATGATGAATAATTTTTGCCATAATATGCGCATTTACAGAGCATTTTGTGACCAGGAAGTGCGTGACTGCACCATGAAACCGATTCTTCCCATTTCCTCAAAAACACCACATTTCCGAAACAACCAATCAAAACAATTTCTCGCTACTAGGCTTGTAAACAGAGAGTTGCCGGGCCTCAAAGTTTGGAGACGGGGGGAGTCAGGAAGCACTTTACAAAGAGAGTCAAGCCATTACAAACTCATACAAGGGGATAAAACAGACGTTTTACATGGTGAAATGTGACTGATGAAAACTTAGGAGCTTAACCCCACACCAGTTTGACCATGAATAACGTCTGGTGACGAGTCTGACTTTTGTTTCTTTTTCACATTGGACTCCACTGAGAAGAAATCCCGTGCATACTGCTGCTTAAATGTTCACTACGTCAGAACTTATTCYGRAAATGTGTTTCCATCTCTGCTTTTGCGCATTAACTCCTGCAGGATGGGAGAAATTGGTCTTGGCGGAGGTTTGCACTCTCCGAGTGCTTCTAGTTTAAATTTTACTATCCAGCTGTGACTTACTAATATTGGGGGTACAAAAAATATCATGGTTTGGAATAAGCGTTGGTTTTAGATCAGTTTGGTTATGATATAGCAGATGGAAGATTTGTTGCAAACAGTCAGAATTCAGTGAGACTAACTGAAAATTCCCATTTTTTTCCTCAATTCTTACTGAGTAAAGTGTGCAATAGCCAAAACCCAGCTGGTTTTAGTTCAGGGCTGCTTGAATCCCATGATCTTTTCATTATTTCCCCTTTGTATCTATAATGTTTACATTTGAATTTGCCAAATAAGTGAGAAGTTTGATTTTGAACCCACAACGCACAAACTAATATAAAAGTTTCTGCCTCGTGTCTTTTTGCAGCGATACGGTCCGGTGTCGGCTGCATGAACTGCTGCTGATTGCGTGAATGAAGTCTCCCTATAAAAGTACCTTTGACAGAGAGAAACCAGATTCCTCTGAACTAATGCCTGTCCTGACTGTTGGTGTAAACACAAACGCAGCAACTGCAGGTCACCATAGAAGACGGGGAGTGAAAAGACAATAAAAACATACAGTCAGTTATTGTGTTGTTAGCTGTGAAAATAAACTGAAATCCCAGTACATTTCTTTATTTTTTTTACTAGTGACATCAACATTTATGTGTAGCCTTTGTGGCTATTGTTGCTGTTAGCATACAGTAATTGTATTCCAACAAGAACTTAAACAAATAAAGAACCAATTGGTGTYCATAGGCTTTTGTGCAACTTAAACTTAACCAACAGTTAACTGTTTGRTAGCTTTAGCTTAAAATATGCACTTATTACATACATAGTTATATAATACAAACAGTAAACAAAAAAGCATATAATAATCAGCACTTTTTTGTTTGTTTGTTTTTATTCATACTCTAAGTTTATTAATGGGTTAGACTTGTCAACTAGTTTGGTGGTCTTCATTCTCCTCTGGCTCTGGGTCAGACTCTGGCTCCAACATGTGAGGCTGGATGGACAAGTCTTCCCTTGTTGACATCTTTTAATTCATTCATAAATAAAAATAGTTTCTGCACTGCTACATAGTCATAAACCCCTTTATCAAATTAGAATGGACCGGTCCGGAACCTAAAGGGAAGTAGGTGTGAACGGCCTCCTTTGGATTTAAAGAGACAGCCTCAAAACGAGTTGATCTGAGACARYSCTCAGAAACGCAGTGAAAGAGGGGCTTGTGGAGTTGCAYTAAGGAGGAATTCAGACCAAAACATTGCAGTTCTGCTTTATATAGACKCCAGCTGAATGATTTAAATGTGAAAAGAAGGATTTAAAAGCATGATAGTGCACAACGCTGTCCAAAATATCAGGAATTCCTGCAGGTTCTTTATTGGAAGTTGACCCTGAGGRTTGCTGTGATCTTGTAAACTAAAAAAAGTCTTTCTGTTGCTTTTAACGAACAGTTTATCAATAGACACATTTTGAAATCCACACCTCTTAACTGGACATAAAAGCCTTAAGGCAGCTCGTATCGACAGAGATGGAAAGTGCTTACTGTCAGTGTTGTGACAATTCAGGACCAAAGGATCAGATACAATTAGTCACCAATATTGTATGGTAAGACAAAAATACTAAAAAGAACAGGACCCTGTAACAGAAAAAAACTGCACAAAATAACACAAAACATGTTAAAAAAAACTCATCAAAAACCTGAAGTAGAAAGCTGACAGGAAAGATACAAGCACTGAGGTCTCAAGTGCCTTTCTAGACTTTAATAAGACATCAGTGTTATATTTTTTATAATTCCACAGTATGTTGGAGCATACAACAAAGTGAGTTTTAGCTACTACCACACCAAATTATAGCTCAGTGTTTGTTTAAAATTAAAATAATTACAAATTAATTTCTAAGGTTTATAAGCTGTGGAAGTCATTAGGCTTAAATACCATCTGGTGGTTCATGAGATATTTTACTAACAGAGACAGACACAGGCAGTAACATAGTCACTAACCCCTTATGATGGCAGGTGATGATACTGTATGTGTTTATTTGCATGTTTGATTCTTTAAATGTAGTTTTGTGGGCGGTGCCTGTTTTTATAAATATCATGATCTTTCTACGAAAAATCTCCTACATATAGAAGAACAATGTGTTTTCAGTCTGGAGAGTCTGACAAGCTATCATGGTTTTATTTATCGATTTATTTTTCTTACGGCTGTCGTGTGCTGTCACTTCTGACATCATCGACTTTTTTTTATTTTTGCCCCAACCCTTGACTGACGACTTGTCATGAGGCATCATGAGACACATCTTCTTTTACCAAGAGCCATGAAATCTGATTATATTCAAGAGCCGAGGCAGTTATAAGACTCAACCCAGCTAATCTGTGTTAATTATTATGCTGCTTATTTTCCCAGTGTGATTGTTTCATTAGTAAAACAACAAAAAGTGTGAAATGTTCAAAGAATGTTGAGGAGAGAAAACCAAAGTCATTTTTTGCATCATCACCAGATTTAAAAAAAAAAAAAAGGAATAAATCTGATTGAGTGGCAGCATTATGGCACAGCGGTGCAGTGGTTACAGGATCATCTCATGAAATTTAGTATTAGAATAATATTGGATTACCTTATGTATTATTTTATATGTTTTATTTGTTTTTGTTGTTTGTTTTGTTTTCGTCACAAACTGATAATATTCTGAAAATCAGATGAAATGGTGAGTAGGGGTAGGATTAAATAAGTTTTACTTCTTCCTACCCCTTTTCAGACATGTCAGTTTATGTGCTTTATGTGAGTGCAGGTATTAGGGTATGTGTACACAGATAGGTGTGTGCACATCAGGTGTTTATTATTTTGGGTTTATTTATTAGTGTGTAATTATTCCAAGTGCTTTTATGTATTCATTTTTTTGTTTTTATTTATGGGAAAGGGTGTATTGGGTTATATAGATTCAATGATTTGACATGTTTGGAATAAATCATTAAATCAATTCAATCTCCCAGTCTTTCTGTGTGGAGTTAATTTGTTCTCCCTGTGTACATGTGGGTTTTCTCCGGGTACTCCTGGTTTCCTTGCACAGACCAAAACCTTGCAAGTTAGGATAATTGGTAACTTTAAATTGTCTCTCAGTGAGAAAAATAGCACTTTCTTTGAGAAACTTTATTTTTATTTTAAGGCATTATTTAAAGCAATGTTCACACACCCAAAGCAGCGAATAAATGCTAAGCTAAAAGGTTTTTCTCCTTCCCCTGAAAGTTTTTTTTCTCCTTTTGTAACACTGAGTGAGTTTGGCCCGAAATAATACAAAATAGAAAATAGAAAAATATACAGTGTTGACTTTGCGGTCCCCGGACCACAGGTTACTTTAGGGAAAATGTGCATGTAAGTAGCAAAGCTGCTTTGTTGTGGCAAAGGGGTGCTCCATATCTCATCCCCATCTGCAGGCTACCCGCTGACATTCAGCCCAATTATTCACACTTTCCTGGACGCCACTGCAGCCAACAGGAGAAGATGCCCTTTAAAAAGTAAAGACAGCGAGGAAAAAAAACTCACGTTACTTRAATCCCTCAGGCCTTCTCGTGATTTTCCTCGAACGGGCAGCCGTGCCTGCGAGCGGTGACTGTGGGATAAATTGCTTTTTGGAGAAATCATCTTGACTTTACTGTAATGGATGTGGTTTTTGTCATGTTTTGGAGTTGTCAAAAAAAAAGGTAATATTCTGGATTTTATGATGTCTCAGAGTTCTTAGAATATAACCAAGAGAGTGCCACTCATAATCCTGATAACAGCTTTGACCGTTGAAGCAAAATCCCAAGACCTTTAGTTCAAACTTGAGTATTTTATATAAACCTTACGTTTAGTCATTTTGTTCCTCGTGCAGGGTGACCCCATCAGATGGAGARACGTCCCCCCCAGATGCTCCCGGGTGTTCTGATGGGACTGTTGGTGCTACCGGTGGCGCCGGTGCTACAGCTTTGCCTGCCACCTCCACTCTCTCGTTGCCTGTGAGCCAAGGTAAACCTTCCCTGCGCCGCATCAAAGGTCGGATGCATCGGAGCAAGAGCCTGGACAGCCTGGACCTGCTCGACTCCAACGTAAGCCTCCTTTACCTGCACGCAAAAAATGTACTGCAGTCAGATAAAATAATAGATCTCCACCTGGTTTTTACTGTATGTTAGGTTTATCTTAAATGTGTTGTTTTAAAAATTGTGAAAATGGTTTTAAATATGTGTTCTTATCCTTTATATATAGCTTCTATCAGTTTCTTTATAGTTACTTACTGTGGTGAAAATCTCTGAACCTTCCAGTTGAGCAAATGAATTCAACCAGTTTGTTGCATCTTTTATGACAAGTATTTAACTAATTAAATGAGTTTCAGGAAAGGAAAAAAACTAAATCCCAGGAAAACATATTGACTATATTATATTTTTTCATTGCAGTATACTTTAAATAATGTTTACATTTATTGTCACTCAAAGGCGAAGCAATGATGTTTTTGCCCGTTTGTGTGCTTATTTATATTTTACGAATCATTGAAGAGCTTTTAATAAWARTATCATTAGCCGTGTTTCCATCAAAGTTTTTTAAGCGCATTTTGAAGTATCGCGTTAGAAAAGCTGGATGGAAATGGCAAAATTTGCACAAACTTTRTCAATTTCGCAAAAAAGCGTTTACGCTGGCTTGAGGTGGTTTTTGGATTTTCAGAAAGAGTCGGTGCGCAAAATGGGGGATGGAAACACATTTGTAGAATAAGTTCTGACGTAGCAAATATTTACCTCCATCAGCTGTTCCTGCTGTCCAATAATTGCAGCGGCTGCAGCTGGACCCTCCTCCCGCTGTCGGCATCTTCCTGGGTTTTCGCGTAACGTGAAGAGAATTGCATCTCTTTCTCTACGTCTCCAGACAGCTAACATCGCCAATGCTAGTTGATATGACAGAATAATTACAACTTTCAGGATGGTAGCAATATGTTCTTTATAACTTCACTCCATTGTCCTAAGATGAGTAGCCCTGCCAGTTTGCYACTTTACTTCCTGTTTYCTACAGACATGCGTAATGTCAACGTTGACWAAATTACTTTGCGTAYCCTGGTTGATTCGCTCGAAGCCAGTTGATGTAAACACATCTGGTGCGCATTTCTTTTTCTTGCAACATTTTAYAAGTTCACTCAAAATTCGCYTTAAAATTGGATGGAAACACGGCTACTGTCTGTGTATCTACAACAGATTGACTTTTGGTGTTAGCACAATTAAGAGGGCCATTATTGCTAATTAGCCTTAGTCAACTCATAAATGGCCATAAATAAGTTGATTTTACAAATGCAGAGCTAAAATTTGGCATGGCAGAAGCTGTGAACCATTCACAACACATACTCCAAGCACCAACAGATCACTTAAGATAAGATTACACATCATGATGTTTCCAAMATTTGATCAACAATAAGATGATCTTGGTTTAAAACTCACATGAACGGCAATGGGTGATGTGCATTCTTGCAAAAAAAAAGTTTAGACCTTTAATTTAATGCAGTAAGTCATTTTTTTAAAATGGTTTCATTCATGTTTAACATTTGATATGTTCTACCATTGGATAACATTAAATTATGTAACGTTTCTTTGGTTTTCTGATGAGCCCAGTTTAACACATTTTATGCATTTCTCTCTATGACTCGTTTATTCTCATGAAAAGTTTTAATCTGATAAATGATTAGGTAAGCTGCTTGGATCTGAACATGCTTCCTGTTCCATTGAGCTTAGAGCTGTGTTTGGCTCTTTGGTTGACTCGTGCATACATGTGTGTGTGTGCGTGCACTGATTTGTGCCCATGRGTGTGTTTTTGTGATTAATCTTGGCTGRGTGATTTTTGGGAAAGCAACCAGCGGTTTATGATGTAAAAGCATGCCAATCTGCTCCTAATGGATGCTGGGTATGGTTGTATTTTATGTTCCCAAACAGATAAATACAGTAGTTCTGTCTTTGCGCGGCTCTGAATGTCTCCACCCACTCCTGCTTTCTTTGTGTCTCGACCCCAGATGTCTCCCTTAATAAATGTTCACAGTCTGATGTCTCCTCATCCACCCCCGACCTTCCTCTCCAGGTTGAAAGTCTGCAGTGTGCATGTGCCGTTTGAGTCGGCTCATTATGGAGCTTCTGTATATTAGATGACCTTAATTGAGAGTGGTGAGTCTGTGTAAGGAGTCATTATTTGTCCCTGCTCCTGCGCGTCAACCAGCCAGTCGTGAGAGCGGAACACGGGCCAGGTTTGAGTGAGGGGACGTTTACGGTTCACACAAGTTAATCCATTATTGATTGTGACGGAGGGCTGAAGGTGGGCAGGTGAAGTTACAGGGTGGGGAGGACAGTCAGCGTTGTGCTCTGAGATGACACAGCAACTCAGACACACACACTGAGCCTCTGTAACAGACAGACACACACACACTGAGCCTCTGTAACAGACAGACACACACACATCCTTGTATTTCCATCAAATTGAGGACTTGTACTGATTTCCATTCATTTATGCCTAACCCAGACATTTTCTCGAACTCTAACCATTACTACTCTTCTCCTAACCCTGACCTTAACCAAAACCAAATTTACATGGTCCCTCTAAACCATGGGTTCTCAAGCCATTTGGGTCTGGGTATCCCTTACAAGGGCGAAGAAAAAATCCAGGGACCCTCTCATAAACCTCATGCTGTTTAAAAATATAATTTATTGTCATTTCAACCCCTAAATGCCATGGGATTATATATTTTTATTAAATTTATTATGTTTATTTTATTAGTTTATTGTTCTCCATGCATTTTTAAAAATAAAAGCCAAATTAACAATTTAGTGAAAGTTTTTGAGGACCCCCAAGATACCTCTCGCGAACCCCTGGGGGTCCTGGGACCCCAGTTTTAAAACCCCTGCTCTAAACCATGTGTCAATCTCAAGGACTACGGGCCACATTTGGCACATTTGGTGATGCCCATCTGGCACAGCAGAGGGGGTACCCCCCTCAAAAAAATTATTTATATACATATATATA